CCCGGGGGTCGGCGGGGACCCACCGCCCAAAATGGCCGCGCAGCCCCCGGCCCCCCGCGCATACAGCCCGTAGCGCATCCTCTCCGTGGCCGGCGGCTCTCCCCCTCACCCCGCCACCCACCCCACCCGCGACACTTACCCACGGAGTCGGGCAGGGGGACGCCGCCCGGGCGCTGCTGAGTCAGGGACTGCCGCATGTTCCCGCCGCCGCCGCTCCCCGCCGCAGCCCGCCGGGCCACGGCGGCGGACAGAGCCCCGGCAGCGGCTCCGCCGCGCCTGCGCGTTGGGGCGGGAGCCGAGGGGCCGGACCGGACCGGACCGAACCGAACCGGCCGGGGGGAGGGTCCGCGGCGGTCCCTGCGCGTCTCACCGGGAAAGGGCTCTGGATACGTGCCCGTTCTTTCCCAAAATGACTGCCTTACCCCCCCCTCCCCGCGGCGTAACGGGGTCCGGGGTGAGCGTAGCTGGTGCCGTTCGGCTGGAAACCGGCCGAGGGGTTGTGCCCTGGGGGGTGGGTTTGGGGAGGGGAGGGGGAGAGGTCTGGCCCCATCTCCAGCAGGTTCCCGGAGTTGGACACCGCCCCCCCGCCCCGCACTCACCAGCAGCCTCGCTGGTTTGGGGTGTCCCCTGCCCTCTCCCCATCTTTCCCCAGCCCCTTTGCACCCCAGCTGCTCCCACCCCGCCGCCAGCCCCGCTGCTCCAGGCCGTTCTTTGCCAAAAATCTCCCTGGCACCTCTCTGGTGTGTCCCCCCAACCTCCTCCCTGCGGTGCTGAGCCTCAGACCGGTGCTGGTGGCACTCCCGGGCAGCCACCCCACCGTGGCCACTGGCCCGGTTTTTTACTTCTTGGTGCTCTGGGATCTCTGCTCCGGTGGTGATGCCTGTTGCTGCCCATGCCCCTTTCCATGGAGGCAGCGCTCCCAGGAGACCCTGCAAGCCCCCCCCCATCTCTGGCCAAGGAGCCGGGGCAGGCCCTCAACCTCAGTTTTCCCTGTCGTGTCTGTAAAATGGGGATAAAAGCATCTTCCCACCAGGCTTCATAATTGCTTGTAAATCACTTTAATGCCCCGGGCCGAGAGGTGCTAAGTGCAAATCATGTAGTTATTTCAAGCCAAAGCATATTTCCTCAAGTTAAAAGAAACTAATCCTATCTCTGCTTCAAAAAACCCCACACTTTTATTGGATAAGAGCCTAATTACCAGCTTCTCCAGGGAGAAAAGAGAAAGCATACACCGTCAGCGGTGCAAGAGACAAGCTACAAATGGCCAGATCAATTAACAGCAAAGAACCCATCACCTCCAGAGAAAACAGCGGTTATTTACCTTGGATGAACTAGAGGAGCCCAGTGCTCACTGCCTGTGCCCCGCTCCGTGCCAGTGATGGAGGGGACGGGTCTCAGCTTCATCCTCCGCTCCGTGCCAGGGCCAGTCTGTGTGGCAGCACAACCGCCGTGATGGGGCGCGTGTGCCCCCAGGGAGCTGCTGGTGCCCCACGATGGCCCAGGCCATGTTAAATCCCTGCGCCCCATCGCAGGTCCTGACCGTCGGCCCCGAGGCCCCAGCGCGGCCAAGAAGAGCCCGCCATGAGCATGGCTGCCTGCATGCCCTAATGCTGGCACGCCTGGCTGCGGGCAGGCACCGGTACCGAGCCAGCCCTGCCTGTGTACCCGGCAGCAGGCGTGCGGCAAGCCCCGGCCAACTCGACGCAGACCGGGGCAGCTGCCAGACCTCTTTCTTTCCTGCTGCGCCCATTTATTAGCACAGCCGGTGAGCGGCTTTCAGCCAGGCTCAGGAGAGGAAAGGGAGAAATGGTGCTTTGCCTGCTTGGACAGGGCGGTGTAGCCCTGTGGGAGCCCAGGACAGATGTCCGGGCAAAGCCTCAGCCTGCGGCAAGGCAGCCTTTCCCCGCTGTTGAACGGGGCCTGGCTCTCCCGCGACTGGAAGGGTCGCCAGCCCCACTGGAAACGGGCTGAGGAAATGAGCTGGTGGATGGTGCCCAGTTCCTGCTGAGACAGACGGTGTAAAACAAGTCCCGCTGTTGCTGGAGAGCTGCACGGGGGCACAGCCAGGGACGGGCAGCCCTCGCACGCTGCCATCACGCTGCTGGAGCCGTTCCAGGCGCTGCCACACGTGCAGGGTTTTGGGGAAGCTGGCCCGACACCAGCGTCCCGTCCCCCCACTGCCCTCCAGCACTCCCACCACACCGGCCCCTCACAGCTGCGGGACTCAAGCCCACACACGCACCCCTACCCCGTGCCCCTAATGCACCATCTTGTGCCCATAATTCATTGGGGGGGAGGGAAAATCTGATATTCCCCAGCCCCAGTCTGCAGGCTGTCACAGCAAGGTGTCCCTCTGGATTTTGTCTCGGTGGCTGTGGCCGGCTCATACAGCTGGGTCAGGGAAGCCGACGCTGTGCGCTCCTAGCTGCTGTCTCAATTCGAAGGGATAAATATAGACCTGCCCCTCGCACTACCCCTTCACTGCAAAAGAGGTTTTGCAGGCATTAACCGTGGCCCCGCCGTGACTGACAAGCACATATTGACGGACACGTGCGGCCATCGAGAGCCCTAGAGATTTGCTAATGTTTATTAACAGCTCCACAGTCTTGCTGGGGCAGAGAGCTTGGCTTCCCCTTTTAGGGCGCTGGCTGGCATTGATGGGGACTTGGGCGCGGGGCAGGATGCTGCGAGGGTGCTGCAAAGGGCACCAGATGCCGGGGGGGCTTGGGATGGGATCCTGTTGCGTTGAGCTCACCCCTCTTAGGAAAGCAAGTTATTTTTTGATCCACTCCCGACCGCTGAAGTCCTGCGGAGTAGGGAGGGAAAGCAGCGTGGTTCACCGCAGACAGGCAAAGGTCTTGGCGCAGCCGCGCTCGCTCAGCCTTTCTGGGGGCTGGGGAGCTGTGCTGGGGAGGGGGCTGTGCCTGCGCGTCCCTGAGAGCCGGGGCGAAGTGGCACCCACGATGGGGCTGGTGCCGCTGGGCTCAGCCCCAGGCTCCTGCCGTGCTAACGCTTGTGTTTCTCTGCATTTCCCACCCAGGGATGGATGGAAACGCCAGCGCTGGGGACATGGAGGGCCAGCACGGGACCCCCCACCAGAAGGCGGTGAGTCTTTTGGGGGCTGCTGGCCACCCTCCGAGAGGCAAGGTGGGGGCTGCTGCCTAGGACCTGCTTCGTAGCTGATAAATATAGCTACTTTGCTTTAGGAAATGCTGCTTTGTCCCTTAGGCAAAGTGTAAGCACTTTGTACTGAGAGAGGAAGGTGCAGCAGGGGGTCTGGCTGGTGGTCCTGGGCAGCGAAGGGGCTAGAAGGGATGGGGACACCTGGGCATGGGCCACCCTCTGCATACCTGGCTTTCAGCAGGAGGAAACTGCCATTGAGAGCTGACCTGGTCTGGGCTGAGGATGGGCAAAAGCCCCTGGCCTCCTCCAGGACACCCACAACCACCAGCACAGCGTGATCCCACCAGAGATGAACCTCAGCTTTGCTTCGCCACCCGGAGTCACCCCAGCTTCCATGGCAGGCAGCAGCCTGGGGCTGTCTAGTGTCCCGACAGGTCCCACCGTGGCTGTACACCCTCCCTGCCCCAGCATGCTCCTATCCCAGCTCCTGCCCCTTGTCCAGGTGCAAGGGACTGCCCCGAGACCATCTCTCGTCCTGGGCTGCAAAGATAAAACACCTGGGAGTGTTGCAACCCAGACCTAACCTAGTTCCCTAGCTCAGGGACCTCTGCCAGGGACCTGGCAGTGGGGTCATCCCATCTTGTCCAGCTGCCCCACACAGACCTCCCTGCCCATGGGGAGAGCCTGGGGCCTCCTCAGCTTTCCCACGCTGCCACGGAGCCCCCGTGGCCTCACCTACCCAAGCAGGATGGGACCCTTCACCGAGTGCTCGATAAGAAGCATGGAGCCAGGAGAGCTGCAAACTTTTCCCTCCTTGCAAAAGCCTTCTGCAGGGCACAGCTGTGGGGTCCCCCAGGTGGGAGCCCATGGGGACCATCCCCATGTCCCCCCACAGCTCTGAGCATCAGCAGCAGCTTCTGGGTGAGGGCTCTGCGTAACAGCCCGTGTGCTGCCCTCACTGCCTCTGAGCTGCAGCTGGTGTGATATCCAAAGGGCTTTTCCCAAAGCAGCACTAAGCATCGGTGCAGAGTCCCTCTGAGCAGTCCCCACCACTCTGGCAGTCTGAGAAATTGTTTCCAAAACAGCTGCCGGTAGCTCTTTTATTTAACAGGGAGGAGAGCAGGAGGAAGGAGAACACATCCTCCTCCTCTTCTTCCATCACTTGCTCCTCTGCGGGTGTCCCGGCAGCAGGCAGCTCCCGCACCTCCTCTCCCATGTCCCTGCCAGAGACTCGTGCTGGGGCTGCTGCTTCCCTGCTCTGAAATCCTCTGGTTTCATCAGCCTTGCATGGTACAGGGCTGTGGCCATGCAGGAGCTGGCTCAGGAAGGGCTCCAGCCCGCGGTGTGGGACCTGGGCCAAGCATTGCATTGCCTTTGCTGTACGGGCAGCCGTGGGCATTTTGCCGGCAGCAGCGCTCTGACGCAAGCGTGCTCCCAGAAGAGCCCCATCGGGGCCTTAACTGGGTCCGATCGGGGCAATCAGTGGGATGGTGACGGTTTACAGCCCCCCTGGGTCTGACTCAGGCTCTCCAAGGCACAAATTTGGGCTTTGGAGTCGGTACTCTCCCCCGATTCTCACTGTTTTGCAGTATTTGTGTGTCTGAGCAGAGTTTAATCCCCCCTGCTATTTGAAAGTGTTTCCAAGCCAGACTGTCAGCCAAGCTCTCGGCTGCTTCCCGGCTCCCCTGGGGTGACCCGCGGGGAGCCGATATCTCGCTTTTCGGCTCTGGCTCCAACAGGTGCCCGCGGCCGGTGGGTTTCCATGGCCCTCAGCACAGACACGGCGTGATCATGCTGGTGCAGCTGCTGCGGGGCCACGCTTGCAGTGGGCACGGTGACCTCAGGGAGACGTGGCCAGGGCGGGCGAGCGTGGCCCTGACGCAGCCGGCAGCGGATCAGCCCTGCAGCAGCGTTTGCGTTAAATCGTGGGGAGGCGATGAACCCATCCAGATCTCAGCATCAGCCCTTCTGCCCAGCGGTACCTGGCCCAGCCTTGCCCTGAGCTCAAAGCGAGGTCTTCACCCTTTCGCACCTCACTGCCTGGTTTTGGAGATGTAGAGCGTGTCCAGGTTGA